ATGCATGCTTAAACAAACACGTGTACACACACTTTCATCTGCCTTCTCCATCTGGGCCTAATTCAAAGAAAAGGATTTTGGCAGGATGAAGTATCTCTCTAATGATCTTCTCCAGTTCCACTGCCTGTGAATGCTTAAGGCACTTGTTCATACAGAGGAGGTGAAACCACACTTACAAATTACTACACTACGAGATACCGCAGACTGGCATACCTTCACTGTACTGTTCACAGCACAACATTGGAATCTGGTATTTTAGCCTTTTTGTTTTTTGTTTTGTGTGTGTTTTGGGATACCTCCACAGAATGAACCAGATATTTGAGACGTTACCTGAGCTGATAATCGTTACGGAGGACGTTTCAGGCTCTTAATCACTCTGGTTTTGTTTCTTTCAGAATCAAATGGAAAGGAGAAAAGGAAAGACAAGAAGAAAGGTATCTTTTCTTCTGTTCTCTCGCGCACTGATGAGACAATTTTCTAGAAGCATCCGGAAGAGCTCATCTAGTTTCACTAAACATCCTGGATTAAATTGGATGAAAAGTTTTCAGTATTTTGTTGTGTCCATCACCGCATTCTTATTCTTGCTTCTCTTTCTCTTCAGGGAAGAAGAGGCCCGTGCCGGGGCCCCCCGGTCCTCCGGGTCCTCCAGGCCCGCAGGGGCCACCGGGCATCCCTGGAATCCCTGGTATTCCAGGAAGCAACGTTATAGGGCCTGCAGGACCCCCCGGACCTCCTGGGCCACAGGGACCGCCGGGCGCTCAAGGTCCAGCAGGTATAAAACCTCCGGGCGGAATAAGATAACCGAGACCCAAGCCAGACTGTGAAAACGAGCCGAGAGATTTTCCTCTTAGATTACCGCTTTCCTTCTGCTTTTAGTCGCTTTCCCACACTTGAAGGGGGCTCAAGTTGTCAAAATTGATTAACTCATTGCCTGCACTGCGAGATCGTCTGATTCAGGATGTCAAACATTGTGCAGAATAGCAGTGATTTATCTTTAAACTATGTCAGTGTTTGTTTTGTTTAATCACCATTTCTCCTTTGTTTCTTTCCAGAGTTGAACAAAATTTTTATTCACGTCTGTCTCTTATTGTTGCAGGGGTTCCCGATAAGACAAAGAAATTCCAGGTAAGGATATGTCACCTTTTTTTTGTAAATTTAATTTGTTCCTCTCAAGTTTTTCTCCTGTTTTCCTTTCTTCACCCTTCTATTTTATAAGAAGCAAATTAGTCATCGGAGCTCTTTGTTTTCCAGCCGGCAGTGGTTCATTTACAAGGACAAGAAACAACAATCCAAGTCCGAGAAGGTGGGATCTTTGTTCATGCTCACTCAGAGTTATACTCCTGTGTTTGACACGAAGTAATGAGCAGGAATTATCCCTGTCAGTGCTGTTTGTCAAACACACAATTCTGGAGTTAGACCAACACACATGCCTGCTAAACCTCAGAATCACAAGAAAACAAATACGACTTCTTTAGAAGGCTGGCATGCCCGTGATGGTTTACACTACAGATTCGGCGTGCCACATTTTAGGATAGTTTGTTCTTTGCATGATAACCTTTGTGGAAATATAACACAAAAGCAGTTTTTTTTATTTGTTTGATCACTATCTACTGTAATATTCAGCCAGATTATTGTGGCTTTGCAGTAATCCTACTTTCAAACCAAAAGTTACCAAACCTCAAGGCTAAAAGCCTCGCATGCTAACAGATTCTGCCGCATTTTCTTTATCGGCCCAAAAGAAGCGTAAGCATCATTAGCAGGTTTATATTTTGTCAGTGCCGAGCTCTGGTTCGAGTTAAACACCGCTGMGAGCTGTTTATGTTGACCGTTTGCCTCGTCTGTGTTTGTTGTGACATGTTTAGATCTGTCTCAAGGCGTCCTCAGGAACTGGAAGATGGTGTCCATCAACAAAGACGTGTTCAGAATGAACCCTCGCACCGGGGAGCTCGTGGTGCTGCTGGACGGTGTCTACTTCATCTATAGTCAGGTAGAAGTGAGTACGGTCCTTGACGTAACTCTTTAAAAATAACAATTCAAAGTCAAAAAGCAGCTGGCAGTTGATCTTAAAAAGCTGCTTGCTTTGTTAATGTTTGAGCTACGCTACAAGACGGATTTCTTTTCTCTCTCCCGGTGGCTGAATGTGAAGCTCCATAACTCATGCTCGTGTCAGCTGCTCTCATACTGCAGCTGTTTGAGCTTTAAGCAGACCCTTAAATGATTATGTGCTCTTGTTTTGATTACCCCTCTCAGTCTCATGTGAATTTCATGTCTCCTCCCCCAAAAACTCTGCACCCAGGTGTACTACCTCAACTTCACGGACATCGCCAGCTACGACGTGATGGTGGACTCCAACCCATTCCTGCGCTGCACGTGCAGCATCGAGACGGGCCAGCGCAAGTTCAACACCTGCTACACGGCTGGGGTGAGCCTGCTCCGCTCGGGCCAGAAGATCTCCATACGCATCGCGCATGAGTACACGCTCATAAACATGACCAACCACACCACCTTCCTGGGCAGYGTCAGGCTCGGAGAGGCTCCATCTGCTGGACAGAACGGATAACTGCACGGCCCTCTGAACGAGTTCGACAGCTGCCCCCGTTAGTCCAGCTGTCTGTTCGGCCCGTCCCGCCTTCATGTTAGGATCACGGCGTTGATTAGAAGGCCCATGTCTCGCCTCGGTTTAGAGGACGCTCTGGACTTTTAAAAAGTAGARGGAGGTGACTTTTGTTCACTTTCAGATGTCTTTAATAATAAAAGGACAATAAAGACTGTTTTGCTTCCTTTAACTATGATTCTATGCAGGCAAGTAAATCCTTGGCAAACCCACATATCCTCATCAAACACAAGTTTCTATTTATAGCCACCCTTTTGTGTCAGCATCTCTCTTTATAACAAGGAAGGACACTGTGCTGACAGTAGTAATTACACTTCAAGTGCTGTTGAATGATAATCTTGTATCTCCAAAAAAAAAAAAAAAAAATACACCGGCTATTTTTGAAATGATTTATTTTTTGTGCGTGTTTTTTATGATTATTTAAGCATTTTATAAAATGGGGTAAAACCTCCATGAGCGAAACGCTTTGCAAACTGGAGTTAGAAGGTATTCAAAGAGCAACAGCACTATATATTTTTGCACACATTTGCACTACGACGTCTCTACAGAACTCTAGCAATACGTACCCCNCTATTTAGTTATGACTGAATCCATGTAGAAAACAACAGTTGTTAATACAAGTCTGTACATAATGTATATAAAATGGGATATACTTTTGTAAATGGAGCTGATTGATGAATTAAAGTGTTTTCATTTCTCTGCCTAAACCTCGTCTGCCCCTTTTTTTTCCAGTGTTTGCGCAGCCGGCGGTATTCTTTGAAAMGGTTCCAACCCACTCGCTTTTCTTTTTGCACCAAGCTGGCACGAGCGCTGACAAGAATAAATGATGTTGTGCGGAGCAAGACCCCCCACCCAAAAAAAAACTTTTTTTTTCGTCTATTAAAAATGTGTCTTTTTACATTGACTGCAAGTTTCACAATACGCAGCGGAGTTGGCTGTGGCTTCAGCACTTTAAATGAGTTCCATCTTGAGAGGCAGCGAGGGGACAGTTCCTCATTTAGAAACGAATTTTGAAACTGCAGATTTCCGGTCTATTCCTCATGAGTGTGTCTGACCTCGCCCTTTTTTTTTTTTTTTTTTTTTGAGACTCTTGGGAAATATCCAAGTCTGTAAACCTTTACTATGCTTTACAATACCTTTTTAGCATCGCTATCCATTTTTATGTTTTGCTTGAGCCTTCTTCTGCTACACAGAGTTAGTGTTTTAGAAAGTGATTTTCATAACCTCCAAGGAGACGTAATTCAACCATTAAATCGGCATCTTTCTGAGGGCGACGATGGAAAAATGGCCAAGATGTGTCAAACGAGGGAGGTATGTCAGTGATTATATGCAGCATGGAGTCATCTTGGACATTGCACTGCTGAGATTTATGCCATTAGCGAGTATTCAGATTGTGCTGCAATAATAAATTTTATCGCAACGCTTTGTTTTCTCTCAGGACACGAAGCCAAGTGTTTTCCAAAGAGCTCAGTGTTCTCTGAAGATCTCTTCTAGGAGAGTAAAGAGGGAACCGAGCAGCTGCAGAGGTGGGTCGGAGCTCCAAACGTGTTGATTAGTTACGGTCTACTCTAGTAGTGGGACCATAAACAACGTATGCAAAGTTAATAGAATTAAAGCGTRAAGTTTATCTCCCCCTTCTTCCTCTCGCCAGCTCCGATATCTTTCCTGCAGTTAAAAGCTAACACAAACAAACAGCCAGAGAGAAGAGGTAAAACTGAACTCAAATCTTTGGCTTYGGTTCTTCACCCAGGTTGCCATTGTTTTGAATACGTGTGTCTTGCCTTCCCCCCCTCCCCCTGCTCCAAGGAAATCTAACCGTGATCCCCTGGACTGTTTCTGTGCAGCGAGGAAATGCGATTTCACAAAGGGAAAACAGGGTTGTTGTCCAAGAAGATGGTTATTACTTGGTGTTTGGACAAGTACTGTGTCATTCCAAATCGAGCGTAACGAATTTGATGCTGCAAATGATTTGTTCCAACTATTCAGCTAATGTTCTGTTCGACTCCCCAGGTTCTATTTGAAAGCCGGGGCGAAGTTATGGGTCATGTCATTCAAAGCTGGCGCTCCACCGAGGCTGGCAGGAGATCAGCAGAGCTCTTGCGCTGCCTGCAGGATACGTCTGATGAGGCTTATCACAACACGTGCTACACTACAGGTAGGTGAGATGCTGGATTTTGGGGTCCTCGAATAAAGATGGTAATATGGAAGTCCATTTTGGCCACTAGAAAAACATGTCACATGGTATGCCATACAGAAAATGCATATACTCAACACAAACGAAACTGTGCGTTTGGTAGATTATATCTTTATTGTAACAATGCTTTTATATCACCTGACTGGCAGCACCTGGGGGTACCAGAAGCTCAAAACAGCTGTCAATATGGCAACAATAAAATAAGCTAAGATTTGGCTAATTTTTCATGTGTTCAACCCACATACTCAGCTCTACTGCTCATCCCACAAATGCAAGTTCTGGCACCATTTAAAATGGAATTTAACAGGCTTTCCAATGGCATAWGATTTATTGCCAAGAATCATTGTTATAACAAAGAAATAATCTACCAAACATAAATTTCCCTACTTTTTGTGCTTAGTTTATATAGCCTAAMATATAGTCTTTTAAAGAAAGTTATAAATTTGAGTTTCAAAGACGTCAGTATAATACAAAGTCATCAATGTTTCCGCTATCATTAAACAAGGGGGGCAGCCCATCCTCCAAATGCGACCGCCCAAACGTGCCTATCGTAATCCAACCAATCCAAGCCGTCATAAGGTACAAAACCATAAATGTGTCTTTAAAGTCAGTATTATGAGTTTAAAAGTAACACTGATGACTTTTAAACTCACAATACTGACTTGGAAATTTTGATATACTATTTAACTGTTATTATTGGCAGTAGGCTTCCATTCCAGCTGTTTTCCAGAAAAACTGAGAGATGATGTGTAGACATAAGAGAAATGGACCAATTGCCTCAAACACCAAAAACGTGTTTTCCCCAAACGACGTGTCATTTTCTTTCAACTTGAACAGCTTAAACGTTCCTTGCTTCTCTTTCAGCAATGATCCAAACATTTATAGCTAGAGAAAAAAATATACAAAAGAGTGAAAGAATTGCAAGAAATGCTCCTACGTAGGCTGATGGGACCACTAAATGATTTAATGTGTGTGGAAATCCTGTATTCCTAAATGGACGTACCTTCACTTTGTCGCCCTGTTTGAACTGCATCAGTCATTCCATGTCAGCTCCACCAGGGGCTCCCACTTCATGGTTCTGTTCTCCAGGTTTTATCGGTGAAAGACAAATTTATAATTTAGTCATAAGGGATTTATTTATCAAGTTACAACTTATACAGTCACTACTCAAAAGCTATGAAAAAAATCCAGCAATAGTTGTTTTATAGCTTTTATATAATAAACAAGCAGGGGCGCCACAACAGAAAAAAATTATTGGCCTAAGCTTTTGCCTGTTTATTTTTAATTTCCCCAAAAACTTAACATAAATCACACATAGTTTTTAACAAGTCCAAAATATAAATATATATATATTTCATTTGAATTTTAAGGTTAAATGAAAAGTTTTCCTGAATAGGAACTAAATGTTTAAAATCCATGTTAACATTGGGATGCAGGGTCTCAGGAGGTCATATGCATCTTTTTTTATTTTTTTATTTTTTTAACAAATATAAATTTAGGAGAGATGAAGTGAAGTGAATGACAACAGAGACCAGGTGTAAGTGGGTGGGTCAGAACCGGAGAGTGAAGTTTAGTTTAGTTTGACTGAGAATGCCTGGAAAACACAGGGAGGCAGAAGAAAGAATGGGAACACAAAGAAAATACAGAAACTAAACATCGTAAGAAATAAATGTGAAAAATAAAACCTCAAAACAGAAAACTGAACACTGAAAAAAATGGATGATAAATTACATCACTAAAAAATCCCTAAGGCAGAAAAGAAAAAAACTATAAAATGAATCATTACAGGTGAAAGTAATATATGAGGGCTCTTATTTGGGTTAAATGAGGGCGTTTTTTTAAATTGACACAGACATTTTGTGTGTTGTTTGTTGCAGGCATTGTGCACTTGCTTCAGGATGATGAACTGGAACTCGTGGTCACAAACCGACCTTYGGCTCTGATCTCCATGGAGCCTGACGCAACACATTTTGGTGTCATACAGCTCAACTGAAACAAACGCGTGTGAAGATGATAAGTGTTACAGTGYCGATGCAGGAAATGGCTGACTGACACACAGCTGTGTGAGTGGACGCTGATAAAGAGTTAGAAGGAAAACCAATAGAATCTGATATTGATGCCATTAATGTACCGTACCTATTTGTTTTAAATTGTCAGTTTTTAATTTAACCTTAAAAATTAACTGTTCAAATAACTGCCCGCTCCCCACCAGTTGTGTTTCCTGCTGTTTCTTTTGTTTACCACCAAGTCCTTTCATCGGTCTTTTTTTAACTCGTCTCTTTTTATCTCCCCACGGCTTCCCTCCTACTCCACCACCCTGTTGTTCGTGTTATTTGTTCCTCTTGTCTATTTTAGGAATATATCCGCTTTCCAAATTGGTGTCAGGAACAAACACATATACAGCTTTTAGGTCTTTCCTGACATAAAATTCAAGAACACTGTAAATACCGTAATGTTTATTTCAACTCATTTCATGTACATAATGTACAAAACTCACTGTTTGAATTGCATTTCTCATTTTTTTTTCTATTTTTAATTTTTGCAAAACCTGATGAATATGGTTATACTTGTCTAAAATCTTTCTTTTCTAGCTCAAATGAAAAGGTTTGATGTGTTTTATGCTTTAATAATGTGATATGTCATCACTAAAGGGACCATTGTCTAAAGATAGTATCCAGTGTTTATCTGGTGTCCACAGCTGTTTACTCTCTCACTTTTTTTATGAAGCGTGGCTATAAGAGTTGGTGTCAAAGTGGGCGAGCTGACAGCACAAGTCAGTTTAGCAGCAGCAGAGGGAAAATGGTTGGACACATTTTCTCTACTCTCTTACTCCTCTGTTCTCTCAGCCATTTCTTTTATACAACTGGAGGGACGTATTTTGCGCCAAAGGTAGGCTCAGTTTACATTAAATATTGTCTTAAAATGAATTCATTCGGAAGGCTTGGTTTTGASATTCTAAATGGCATCCGTTTGTTTTTAATATGCTTACTATCCCTCTAATTTCAAGAACCAGTCCTGGAGCAACCAGAACCTCTCCTCTGTCCCTCTGGATTTGGACACGAGGCTCAGAAGACTCGATCTGTCAAATAACTTCATCAGACAGCTGCGCACACTCGCTTTGCCGAACCTGAAGCAGCTGGACCTGAGCGGCAATCAGCTGGATCTCATCTCYGAAGGCGCGTTCGAAAACCTGGCTCACCTCGAACACCTGAACCTGTCCAGGAATCGACTGAGCGTCCACCTTGGCAGYAACAGCAAAGCCCTCGAATCCCTCGGCAGGCTGAGGAGTTTAGACCTATCAAAGAACGGTTTGAGAGACGACGAAGTAGAACTGTTACTTAAAAACAAGTTTTCTCTTGATCATCTCAAGATGACCGGTAACTCCTTGACGAGGCTTTCGCACCACTTATTCAGGGACAGTAGACTTTTAAGAGCCCTCGCTATTGACGAAAACCTGGTATCGGAGATAGCAGAGGGGACATTTGAACAGCTGAGCCAGTTAGAAACCCTGAATTTGGCTAAAAATAGCCTTGCACACATTTGTGATTTTAAGCTCCGACAAGTTAAACATTTGAATCTCAGCAGAAACTCTGTGGAGTTTTTTGTCACAAGTGAAGACGACCAGATGTATAGCCTCGAAATTCTTGATCTGAGCCACAACAAGCTTCTTTACTTCCCAATAGTTCCCAAAATGAACCGATTAAAGTTTCTACACCTGCAGAATAACATGCTTGGTAGTTTAAATTCAGAGGCTGGGATGGTTTYGGAGACTAACGCTCTTTATGAGGAGATCGTAAATGAGAGAATGGTTATAAAAAATCAGCTCCATGCAAACTGGAGGCTGATGCCACTAGTTTATATTGACCTGAGCTTCAATCAATTCACAACTTTCCCTCTTGAGACTCTGAGCCTGCCTCCGTTTTTAGAAACGCTGACTTTTAGCTACAACTGTTTACAAAGCATAGAGTGGAACGTAAGACGTTTTAACTCAGGAAACACTCGTCAGCTGTTTTTTCACTCTTTAAAGCACCTTGACCTGCAAAGCAACGGCCTTTTGTACATATCCCCCTTCTTCCTCAAGGCGCTCACGCACGTTGAAACGTTGAACCTGCAGGACAATTTTGTGCAACCTTGCACTTACGACAACAATTTTGATAGCCCCCCTTCTGCATGGCAAATCAATCTCACATCCTGTGCAACATTTGGGCAGCTGAAGACACTTAAACAGCTCAATCTTAGAGAAAACAGCATAAAAATACTTCCTTTCAACGCTTTTCAGGGAACTTCTTTGATTTCTCTTGACCTTTCCAAAAACCCACTCGTGGTAATGCCTGAGAGGGTACTGGAAGGGGTGCAAACAACCCTCCAGTCTTTGACCATCAGCGAGACAAACATGAGCAGCTCCCATTTGTCTTTACCCTGCATGCCGGCATTAACGGAGCTGAACCTATCGAACAACAACCTTGACCGGTTACCCAGCGGTTTAGGCTGCTCTCCTCTCCGACTCATAGACATAAGAAACAACACTTTTAGGACTTTAAACCATTCACTGCTCCAGACTTTATCCGCAAACCTCACGACGATGTTTATCAGTGGAAATCTGTTCAACTGCTGTGACAGCACATGGATGACCGTCCTAAACGAGACGAACGTTACGATGCCTGACATCGGTGAGGCTGGCTGCTTTACCCGTGTGACAGGCTTGATGATGACAGAATACCTGAAAAGCCCTTTACTTCATTGTTTGTTTCATTCAGAGGCACAGGGTGTTCAATTTGTGCAAGCAGTCACAACTATTTTATTCATAATTGTGTTACTGGCGGGGCTGATTGGGTTCAGTCGGAAGGTGTGTTGTGCACGAGGATCTTGTATAGTATGACATTTAAAGCCTGTTTTTACAGTTTTATTTTGCACAATCTACACAAGATTTGCATATGGGTTGCATTAAAGGCCATAAACCACATGTACGCTGGAAGGAAATTGGAGAATCAACCAGAGTTCCTGAAGATAACTCCAGGGAGTTTAACTCGACATGATCCAGTTTCTCATCAGCTTGATGTCCATAAAAAACAAATTTCCCTTTTGATAAAATACGGAAAGAACTTCCTGTATTTTTGGCTCGTGATTCAACTCTCACCCTGATTAAACTTTCTTAAAAAAAGCACACATATA